GTTACCACTGACAAGAATAAGCTCCATCTGCATGCCATTTTCTAATGCCCTTATTATAAGCGGTATCTAGGTTATTCGATAAATCGCAATTAAATCACGGTTACTTGTGAGTAGTGGTGTGAGATAATCGATATTTATCGATTTGAACTGACTCTCGTTCGATCTTCACCTTCACACACAATCCTCAGTTCATCGATTTAACCATACACTCTGAAGCACTAGACTCGAGGTTTGCTCTTACCGGAGCATATCAGTAGTGCATATCCACCGTCCCGTACGGGATTTCAACTCCGGAACCATCGCATGTAAGGCGTGTGCGTTACCACTATGCCAACCAGCTCATACCATGGCCGAACCAAGTTGTTAATCCGTGTTTGTTCAGGCGTCGTCTTCAGTGATAGTCAGTTCATTTGACCATAGAGCAACGAAGGGAGATACAAATGACAATCTGCTAAGTCCAATAAGAGCGAAACTCAAGTCTAATGCTTCCGAGTGTGGTTGAATCGATGGACCGAGGATTATGCGTGAAGGTGAAGTTCGAGCGATAGTCAGTTCAAATCGATAAACATAACTTTATACAGCTATTGAAACATATCCCTTGAAACAGCACTCGTCGTAGACTGAGAAACAGCTCCAAATCTGTTGACTGTATGCAGAAAGAGAAAATCAGATACCTAATGAAACGCCTGATCCAATCGGAATCGATCATTTATGAATGCTTGATTGTTGAATCCGATAATAACTTAGGTGGTGTTATGTTACTTTGGTGCATGTTCACTGCAGATTGTATCTTAATACCGATGGGTTATTATTCTGAGGCTATTGTCGCCTGCAAGGTACTTATCTTTCGAGGTATCTTTGAGGCGTCTGCAACAAACAGCACCAAAATTACGGATTACAATGGAAACAGGGATGCAAACCTCAAACGGTGGCACTATGTGATTCGACAAACATTGGAATCGGTAAAGCCAGTGGTCCAATAAGTAAAGACTGACAAAACGAGAGCACGGGCATCTGTGAAAGTCAACGGGTGCAGTGACCTAGAACGAACCAGTCCGAATGTGGTGGGTGTAAACGTTACTTAATAAGGAACGCCGTGGAAAGATAACTAGAGTAAGTTATTCTGTTCATTTGCAGGTGTCCGGCTCAGTCAAAAGCCCGGATCAATTAGAGAACTGCAATTGAGGACGAACGGATGGTACTGCACTGAAGAAAAAATTGCCAATGATGTGTATTAATATTGGGGTCTATACAGCTGAAGCCCAAGCGAAATAATGTTTTATTATTTGAAGCCTGAGTAGATTCGCACACGTTGCTATCATCATTCGCCAGGGAGGTGTGAATAGCTAAATACGAATTTGGGGTATAGTTAGCCAACGGAAAAGTACAGAAGTTGTGAGTTTGAACAGCCACCTAGAATAATCTCAAACGTATCGTTTCAAGTACCCAGAGAGTCAAGGTTTGTCCGTTTCCTCCTTTAAAAAAAGAATTGGTTTAGCCATGATTTATTGATTTAGACGAAGTCAAAACTTTAATTCCGAAATGTTGGACAGTCAGCCCTACCGCGAGTCATTTAATTCCAAGGGGTTACATAAATGGATTGGAGTGGTTTCAGTGCTATTACAAGCCACTCCATGTCTTGCCTGATCCGGGCTCAACGTTCATGGTGAATAGAAAGCATATGTTCGACTTTACTGAAGAGAAACTGATAAAAAGAGATAGTGCTTACGATTTTAGAATAAACTTCCTCATTTGTAACTTCTACTCAACACGAACTGAAAGATTGCATTGATTTTAGTTTGATCCTCTGTGAAGACCGAATTGAAATAACTTCCCTCTTTTAAAGCATTCGAAAGTTACATTATGTCACCAAAATAGTATAAATTTTACTCTGCAAAGTGAATCCCGAAATCTGTGTCATTCGTTGCTCAATCTGCTTTAAGACTGAAAAAATTAGGGCTTTCTCAAAATCCAATGTGTTGTTGATTGATATCGAAGTTTACCTCAGTGTTTCTATGCCATGAAGTAACAACAGAGGGAGGTAACAGTTTGTTATCAATAACCCGTCTCATATGTTCTTGAATGACATAATCTTCATGATGCAGCTCAGCAATTCGTGCGGCCGTTATCCCATCTTTTGCAGTTTGGAACGGCTAGTTGAAGAAGGACAAAAGTGTCCCATTCCAGACTACATCAAGTCCCTGTACCTTGAAGCGCGTTGTGACGATGAGGATGGAGAAGGTTATGACAGTCCGAAGATTCGTTACCTTTTGCGATGCACTCCGACCGCCTCCACGCATACGGTTTGATTAGCATGAAATGGGCATGGAACTTTGGGATGATTTTCCTCCATTCCACCAAATTTTCTTATTCATTCCAATTTAAATTATTTGCAATTTATTATATAATGACTTTTTAATATGTAGTCAATACGATCTTTGAATAGACACGAGAATCTCTTAAATTATAGTTCCTGGATTCATACTTATTGAAAAAACAATTGGAAACATGATCCCTCAGCAGGATCGAAACTGTTGAGTTTCACGAACTTTCTCGACCTTCAGCCCCATTCTGAAACGGTGCAGTCTTTAGTGACATAGATTCTTAGATAAGTAGGGTTCGGAAAATGAAACAACACAAACCTAGCTCCTTTGTACAAGTTGCTGCATGATGAAATCGGAAATTGGTGGTTAGTTTAAACATCCCGTAAGGAAAATTTCAGGAAACAGCGATTGAAATAGGCTCAAAATGAAAACTTTTCACAAAAATTTTCAATGTCAGCGATTATGTTGTTCTCTAAATATCTGCAGACTAGGAATCAAAATCGTTCTCGTTATCACCTAATAAAATCGTTTGCTACGGAGAGAGAGGAAAACCACAGGATGAGCGCTAATTTACCAAAAGAAATCAAGCGAATTTAATATATCCAATTTTAGATCTTTGGTTGAACATGTACTAACCAATCAGTATTCGTTTTCTTTCTGTCTCAGTATAACTTGTTAAAAACTACTGAATTTGATTGGTCCTTACTGCGGGCTTGGTTGTCCAGAGATAAAGGTCATAAGCATAACTCAGGTTTATTCATTATTATTGCAAAGTATTTCAATGTTTTATCGAGCTGAAAACTATGTGAATCAATTGATGGATTAGAAATGACTAATTTGTATTGAAATGAATATGAGTGAGTGAAAATTCCAGGGAAAAACGGAGGATTATCGCTGGCAATTGTGTCAAACATTTTGAAGCACCAGGTTAAATACATGTCTCATAAGGTGGGATGAATGCAGATAACGACATGAATGAATAGGTTGATAGAATATTCGGCAAACCTAGAGAATAAATCTTAGAATTCAGTGTTATTGAGACTGATGAAGATCTGATATTTGCAGTGTTCCAGCATAAATCACGGATTTTAGTTCCTTAATCACGTCCGTTGCTGTTCTTTGTGAACGTCCAATCTGTCAAGGCTCAACCATAGATTTCAAACGCGGCTGACATATGCAATCTTCAGTTTACTTCTTGCTCATAAATATCATCATAACAAGGGTGTTTCGAATAGTCCAAACCGCGTTTGAAGTAACTGATTACCTGTTAGAACCATCAATACACTGCATATAACAATCTAAGCCCCACCAGTTTATAACTTTTAGCTCCTTCCCGTTTGTAGCATGGGTTCATTAATTAAAGACAAGAACTTTAACACATGATGAATGGAAATGCTTCAAACAATCGGCGCTTGATTTCTCCTAATCGACATTTTCCCCAGTTCCCACCAGATCGTTACGCCTTCACTCTTGTCTACAACGTGAAGTCTATCTTAGATACGATCTAACGATCGATATCAGTCCATTGCGAATAATGAAACAGACTTCAATTGAGGAAGATCGAAATGTATTTTGATTCGAGTCGCCTGAGTCTCTCGCACTGCCGAGGTCAACTGATAGGTATCGATTGATGGTTGCGATGGCACAACCGCATACAGGTGTGACTGCTGAAGTGGCACAACAATGAACCCCTTAAATGTGCCAATAGCTCTGATGCTGAGCGCTGAACGATGGCTCGTTCACTGTGCCAGAGCAATGATGGGGCTCTTCGTGGAGATTAACCACAAAACCAGAAAGAGCACAAAGCGAAAGACAGATCTGATGAATGCTACACAAAGTCAAGAATGCAAAGTATGGTGCGATTGTGTTTCTGCACACCAATCCCGTAAGGCTAATACGACATTTCATCAAATCATCTCTAATTTTAAGGAAAGTGTGTGAGAAAAGCAGTATTTTCAGTACGGCAAAAGTATTGCACCCCCCCCCCCCCCCATGGAGTTCACCCATTGGAGCCACTTTATTACTGTTTATAAAATCAAGAACCTTGTCCGCATCGGTATTATTCCTTTCCCTCATTTTGTGGTTCAAACTCTGGAGTTTTGATACACCTTTCAGGCAAGAATACACCAAATTTTCTCCACTGGAATAAAATCTGGGTTGCACCACCGTTTTGATGCTGCGAAATAAGAACCAGCATTTTGTTAGATACGAGTAATGAACTACGATGATATTATGCTGGAAAATGGTTTCAGCGTGATAATTCGATGTCATTGCTAGCATAAGTAATCGATCCAATGTACGAATACATTTCACCCCAAGCTGCATAGCGTGTTCGCTCTAATGTCAATATCATTTATGGGTGTTCTTTATGTTGCAATACCTCTAACAATAAACTATCCGCTTTTAACTTGGAAAACATCTCTTTTTATCTATATATAGTGAATCGATTGCGTGCCGTTCCGTTCATTTCTACTAGTTAACGAGCCAAGGATGGAGTGAGCATAACTGGTTGCGGTTGCTGGGTCGTTAATGAAAAACAACTCAATCAGTCACCAAAGTTGAACTCAATAACGCCGACGCAAGTCCCTCAACAAATTTTGCCATGCGAATAGATCCATGATTCACGTAATGAAAAGTGCACAGTTCGGAATACGTCGTAAGCACCACTCACGCCCCTGGTATTACTTGATGTGGTAACCTTTGCTGATTGAGCTATCATCAATGTTCGAGCAACTACGACCAGCAGTGTCTTAGCTACAGCACGTCACCCTTTATGAAGTTGGATTCAGCCGAGCTGTCTCGCATAGATCACGTGGTTTCACCGACCCACGGAATAGACGTTCGTCAGCGAGCTGGGCAAGGTACAAGTCTGCTTTATTTCAACACAGAAAGAGCGTGAGAAGACAAGGAGGCAGAAAAAACTTTTGATCAATTGACCAATGAGGTGCGCTGAACGGAAGAGGATTCATCCCCACAGCGTTTCTTCTCCAATTCAAAGTGACGGTTTTACAAGTTAAAGTGATAGTTACTCAAATCAATCTTAAAATGTTAAAGTCCGACTTGGACAGCACTTGACCTCACAAATTTGGTTGGCCTTGAGATATGTCCATCGTAAATGAGAGAAACAGGTATTGAGGTGGCAGTGGGATGGTGAGTCACTCACTGTTCTACGTGTGGTTGTGCGCACGTGTATGCCTGAGCGCGCGTGTTAAGCGTGGTGTACAGTATGTCTCAGTTGTCCGGCCAGCGGATTATGGTCGATTGTTACCAAAAAATAGCTCGAACCACGTGATCGTGACCGTCATTCCACGGACATCGCTGCGTACCACAAGTTGCTTACCTTGTGCCTAATCGGTCAATGGAAATTTGAACTGATCTCGTGGCTACCGTTGATAAATCCGAGTTTTCCCTTACTGGCCATTCTGTAGCGCGTACTTTATCCTTCAGCGCATCAAAACTAACCAAAACTCGCTTATGATGGCAACATAGCGTTTATGGGCGAAACTAGACCAACACAAGCCTTCTGGATTAGAAATAGATCAGGTGAAGTTGATGTTGATGTTTTCTTCGAGCTAGACGTGTTGTTTGCAGACGTTTCGAGACATCATCAGTGCAACCTCGCGAACACGGACAAATGGTGATGGGAAGGTCAAAGACGAACAAAGTCCTGACACTTGGGTTAATATTGAAGTCTACTGATTTTTAAAAACAATTGGAGCTTCTGTGTGAATGATTGCTTTCTAGTTCCGTGTGCAAAGAAAGCGCACCAGTGTGATCGGGAACTACGAGCCCCCACTAACATTTTCACTGCAATGAAGCTAACATCTAGCTTACAACCAGTAAGACACACCACTTTTGTCAGAGCTCATCTATCCGAGTCAAGTCATCCATTGTGAACAGAATTTCCAGGGAAAATTTTGCTTTGGTGTGCTTGCGATTAAATCGGATTTAAACATGTGGCATTCAGCAGACAATGATGACGATGAGTGAGAACGAGTGGCAAAGGTAGTGTCTCAGTTCATTTGACAGTCGTCCCCCGGAAACCAATAAACGAACAAGAGAAGGCACAACGGAATTGCGAAAACCTGTGGTGTGAGTGTATAAAGATTGAAGTTTATTGCGAGTGACAGAAATGGAGCCAGAGAGGTTAGGGATTTGATGCATCAGGGCAGGTTGTATCACATACGGTCTGATGCCTTAAGTTGTTAGTTGACAATGGAGTCGACCAACGCCAGGTAAGAGGCAGCTCCACATCTATAAATGCATCTGATTAATACGAAACCTCTAGACAACAGACTGGGGAAGATAACGAAAGAGCAATAGGTCCAATGACATGAAACTTTCGAGAAAATAAATTTAGATATTTGAGGTGTTGTAACCTTTTAACATTTGAGTTGTTGATAAAGATGTTGGGAACAGAACATGTGGAGTGTGTAGATGGCCTGAGGTTATTGGAAAATAAATCTACAATGCATTTGGTTAGACTAAGGAAAGGTTAGTTCAGTAATCGGAATAGACAGGAATCACAGATCATGAATCATAGTCGTAAATGCAGCACGGAATAGCACTAGAAATCGTAGGCTGGAATCTCCCGTGACCGAGATGCAGGAAGAAGGCCACGGAAGTAGCAGTTCGGCTACTGAGGGAAAGCAACGGAATTACGCAATAGGTAAAGGGATACATCATTGGGCAAACAGACATCAACCAAACACAGCTCTCGTGCTCCGAGTCTCGCGGCTTCTGTTTGAACTGTGTGGCTTTGATTGACCAGTGCTTTTGCCGGCTCCAATCTTTTGCAGTCAGTGTATGCAGTACTTGGAACACTGTGGTGATCCAAGCTACGTGATGACCACTACCCTGCAGCGGTGCGTTACTGTTTCTGGACACCTGCGAGCAATCGAATTTGAAGGGTGACGTCAATGACACGCGTACGCGTCACGGCTTCTGACTACACGCGATTGGTCGATCGTGCCAGTCAATCCGAG